CATTTTCATTTTTGTTCGTTGAATAACTTTCAGCAGTTATTGCTGGATCTGATAAACCGTATAAATATTATCGTCACTGCGTTACGATGTTGTTGACTTACGAAGTAGTAGCTATGGTAGACGGTAGGCAGTATTGTAATCAAACGTATTCTTAAAAAGAGTGTGTTCATCATTCATCGACAGCTTTCGTAAGCAGCCGATTTATCCTTACTACTCACAGACCGCTTGCAATCGTACACGTTCGTATCAGTACGGCGCATCTCGCATCCTATAGCACAGTCACCTTTATTTGGTTTGACTCCATTGACGACTGGAATTGGCTCATCTCTCCGACGTGCGGCGTCTTCCACCGCCAAGGTAGCGTCTGGAAACAGTATAGTTGCCAACAGAGCGGTCGCCTCTCCAGTCGTAGGTACCAAACTAGGTCCCACGCCATATCGGGTTGTAAGCGCTCCTACTCTGCACTTGACTCTGACAAAGGCTTTATAATCTCCCTCCCTGTTCTGGACCCAGCCACTCCCAGAGATGCACGACGGCTAACAATACAGTCATCAAGCGTGCCGGATGAGTTTGTGATTTTGGGGGTTGGTCACGAACAACAGACCCCACCAACGACCCTCAGGCCATCCTTATTCACGGCTTGATAGGCGGCGTCCGCAACTGTCACCGAATACCTTGGATGGACCCCGATGAGATTGAGATTGTAGGCGATGAAGGTTGCCTGGTGGATGGGTCGTACAAGCGAGAATTGGGTACTGCGGCAATCCAACTACTCCCACACAAAGGGGAGAAGGACGGCATCATCATCAAATGTCAAACTCCAGGCCTGCCCCAGGACCAGAGTGCATATCGGAGTGAACTGATTGGCCTGCTGGCGGGCATTATGGTCGTCGACTGGCTACTTCAACAATGGGCACCGCTGCTTTCTTTTAAACCCCGTGTGCGGATTGCCTGCGACGGGTTCTCTGTCCTCCTCAACACCTTCAGCGACAACCAAGTCACGCCTCAACAAGCGCAGTTTGACTTGGTCTCCTCCCTTTGAGAAACTCTTTCTCGGTCCAAAGCTTTGTGGGAGCCCAGCCACGTGTACGGCCATCTTGACAAAGCCACTTCCTTTGAGTGCTTGTCCTGGTGGTCTAAACGGAACGTGGAAGTGCAGTGGAGTACCGTCACTAGTTGGATGCCTCCAACCGGCGGACCGCTCCTAACGCTCGATTCTTCACGGAACTGGCCGCCCTCTACATAGGAGACGTCAAACAATCTAGCTTGAGTCCGGACTACATCCAAGAGCTGGTGGCGCTTCCCGCACTGCGTACCAGGTGGCGTAGAAACCTGACTGTGTCACCTGAGGCGGAGTTGGAAACGGATTGGGACAATCTCGCCCGTGCAATGCGCTCCCTTCCAGCGGGTGTCCAACGCTGGACCACCAAGCATGTCATGGGTATGTGCGGGGTTGGCAAGTTCAAGGTTAGATGGGGATCCGAAACCTCGGCCGCGTGTCCTTGCTGTGGAGAGTTTGAAGATCACCTGCATGTGCCTCGATGTAGGGCGCCCTCTGCTAGTGCCGCATGGGACCGTCTGACTTTGGCCCTGGCTCAATGGTTGGATACTCAAGTGACAGACCCGGCCATTAAACACTCTATCCTCCTCCTTCTACAGGGTGTCCGTGATCCGTCCCTTCCTTCCCTACGCGTGGTTCCTGACCGGCTCCACAGGGCCTTCCGCTCTCAACAGCGCATTGGTTACCAAGGTCTCGTGGAAGGACGTTTGTCCCGCCTGTGGGCTCCTGTGCAGGAAGAATATTTGCAGTCGAAAGGAAGTCAGCGATCTCCCTCCTTATGGGTGTCCCGGCTTTCGCACCAGCTGCTTCTGTTGGGGTTCCAGATATGGGAGCACCGGAACTCGGTGCAACACTCGGAGGATAATGTGCAGCTACATGAGCGAAGCCCACAGGTCAACAATGGGATCCATTCTCAGTTTGATATAGGTTCAACGGATCTCCCGAAGGTTGTTCAACGCTTGCTCTCGGTCAAGCGCCGGACGGTCTTGAACAAACCTCTGGTCGATCGGGAGGAGTGGTTGAAGCTTGTGAAAATGGAACGCACGGCCTACCGTCGGGCCTTGGCGCCCCAGCGCCGCATTCTTTACCGCTTCTTTCATCCTCAGGCTCCAAATACCTAACCACTGTTTCATGGAAGCAACGCCCTGAAATCACCCCGCCACGTCGCGGGTAGAGTCCGGACCTCCTGGTTCTGACTAGAGCAGCTTCTGTTTATCAGATGCCTCTCATGGTTCAAACCCGTTGTTGACTTGCCGCCTCACAGCTCCTGACCTTTACAGCCGCACATTCCACCGGCAATCATATGCGCTAGATATCATTTAATCGATTAATGTTTCAGTTATTATTATTATTAGTTTTTCAGCATTTACGGCACGTTATGTCTGCAAGATGGGGTAATTTTTGGAAATAGGTTGCAGGCAGACAGACGGGACCATAGATGTCAGCGGGAGCTGCTGTCGACACCCGCTTGAACTGCTAGTCAAGCCGTTAACCGTTTCCTGGTCAGACAATACAAACCAATACACTCGTAGATCCAGTAAAAAATGTACATGAAATCGACTACACCGACTGCTCCAAAATAGTATCTACAACCTCTAAATACTACTCGCCAAATTTGGCCACCAAAGAACTAAACACATAGTTGGAAATTCTAGCGATGACATTTGCCAAAAGAGAAATATGAGTTTTTACGTTCCAAACGAAACTATTCAAGTACGAGGTTTTCGACACGTGCGATCGGAATTTGATCGTGCAAGATGTTGGGATTTGACGCAAGTATGCCGGACGCGAGTCTGTCGGACAATCTGTATCCACACAAACAGGAAAAGATCCTGTACAAGTGGAATATCGATGTTGTGTACGATGCAGTAGGGAAT